TGAGCATTCTGGCTGTGACTGAAAGTACGGTCTATTTTCTGTTCTCCTCATGCCAGGAGCATTTTACTGATACCACCCTGGTTCAGGCCTCATCACCTCTCTCATGGACTCTTACAATAAATGGCCTTCTGGTTGGGTTCCCCTCCCCAGTCTATCCTTCACTCACACTGATCTTTCCAAAGCGCAGGTCTGATCACATCATTTTCCTATTCAATACACTCCACAGGCTCCCTGTCACCTCTAGGATCAAATATAAAATCCTGTGGCATTCACAACCCTTCATAACTTGCCACTCTCCTACCTTTACAATCTTCTTATATCTCACTCATTCCCATATGAAATGATCAGTGGCTCTGGCAGTCTTGATGTTTCTCAAACAAGACCCTCCATTTCCTGATTCTGAGCATTTTCAATGACTATCCCCCCATGCCTGGAATTCCCTTCCTCCTCATCTCTGCCTCCTGGCTTCCCTGACTTCCTTGGTTTCCTTCAAGTTCTAATTAAAATCTCACTTTTCACCAGAATCCTTTCTTGATCCCCCTCCTCCCAAGCTCCTGAAATGATCTCCAATTATCCTGTATATAATCTTGTTTATATATAGTTGCTTGAATGTTGTCTATACCATTAGATTGTGGGATCTGTGACAGTAAGGGTTGTTTTCTGCATTTTGTTGTATATCCAAGCACTTACCACAGTGCTTGACACGCGGTGTCACTCAGGTGGACTGGCTGACATACAGCCTGCCCCAAGCGTGGCCTCTTGTGCAGAGGGGTCTAGACAGGAGGGATGTATAGCCTATATTTTTATACATATCCATCCTCTCCCCACCCAAGGGATCAGTGCTGTTAGGGTCAGGGAAGTGGTGACTATCCATTCGGCTGTAGGCTTATTTAGAGGGTAGAATTTCTCCATAGGTTTAGAAACCAAGGCCTAGTTTGGGGTAGGAGAATGGCTGTGTGTGTGTGTGTGTGTGTGTGTGTGTGTGTGTGTGTGTGTGTGTGTATGAGTGGTATCGTTGCTGCTCCCAGCTCAAAGTTAACATTTTTTTTTTGAGACATTCTCCCTATGTCTTTCCAGACTAGAAGTCTGTGGCCACTCATGGTCAGATTCCACTGGTGATCCACACAGAAGCTGCTCAGTTTTCCCCCTAGGCCAGTTCTCCCCTAAGTGGCCTAGTGGCCCCTTTCTGTGGGATGCTCCCATATTGGTGTTGGACTTAATGTGGATATCCAATTAATTAAACTCACTAAAGGTAAGAATTCCTGCACTTAAGCCAACCTCAGCCTCTGGTAGTAGGGGTTATAGATGGGTGCCACTATGCCTGGCCTTAATGTCCATCTGAAGGAACAGGATGGCTATGATAATAATAATAATAATAAAATAATAATAACATTTATATAGTACTTCAATACTTGCAAAATCCTTTATGCTTTGTGTCTTTTTATCCTTACAATAACCTTATGAAGTAGCCTTTATTATTATCATCTCCTTTGTACAGATGAGGAAGCAGAACCTGAGAGGGGTTAAGTGATTTGCCCCAGGTCAGACAACTAGTAAACATCTGAGGCAAGATTTGAACTCAGGTTTTTCTGACTCCAAGTCCCACTATGACATCTGTCAGGATATTAGCAGCAGCAGCATGAGTAGTGAGGCATTGGAGATATGTAGCTAGGACCTCCAGCAAACCATTGCCTTCCCTTGATCCACTCTACTTCAGGAAGATGGATTATCCAGGGAATGATAGTATTTGGCTATGGGATTACCATGGCCAAATAATTCATTACCAAGTGGACAGTCTACTGGTGACAGAGTGCTTAGCTAGGCTGATCTTAGAAAAGCAGACACAGTCTATTGCCAGAATTATATTCAGAGTCTTTCTAGCATAGTAGAACCTGTGAGAGTTTACAATCCGCTGCCATTACCTTGAGGGATTCAAGTTCACCTTGAGTCCCACCATGATGAAGCATCAGAAGAGAACTTTGTGGCCAATGGCCATGGAAGATATCTTTATGGGTGTGTCAAGATTCTCATCACCTGCAGTGAGAGTATCCTAATATTTTATTTCTTCCTATAGATAAATAAATGCATAGAGCAGTTGTGTGTCCACACTGTGGGGTAAGCATTATAGTTGGTTCTTATCTCAAGGGGATAATAGATATAGAGTAGTACCACTGGCTCTTCCCCTGAGGGCAAAGGTAGGGGCCATCAGTAAGACTTTCCTCAGGGAGTGTGGGCATATATGGGTATAGCTCATCTCTACTCTATTCAAACTTATGGTCCTTTTCCTGGCTTCCCTCTTAATCTCCTTAATAGGATCCCTGACCTCAACATCCCTGTGTCATACCTCTAACTGAATATCTAGGGAGTGGGTAACTGAAGGTAGAAAGAGGGTCTGGAGCAACATATGAAGCAAGAGATACAGAGCTAGTTCAAATCAAATTCATTTTTGCCAACTAGGAACTGCTTTCCACTCACGATTTGGATTTAATGAACCCCCAGAGCACAGAATGGGCTGCTTTTCACTAAGTTTTGTTTTGTCAGACTGGGGACTTAAAAAATCTTTAGTTCCATGAACTTACCTCATAGAGTTGTTGGGAGAGAAACCTCCCCAACCCCTACCCCCAAGACTGGAAAGCCCTCTACAAATATAATGTGCTATTTAGATGCAAAGTAAAAATTCCAGGGGCCTGTGACTCATCTGGTCTCTTTTGTGCCTTTTGTCAAAGACTTTCAAGGTTTGCATGTGTGATGGGTGCCATTTTAGAGGTCGGGGGGAAAAGAAATCTCCGCTGAATGAATTCAGCTGCATTCTTTCCACAGCTCCCTGAAGGCCTTTTTAAAAATTTATTCTTACACTGAAAATTGCCAGCCCTTTCTGACACATCCATGCACAGCCTGTTGAATCAGCCCTAACGTAGGGCATTGTGGGAGGTTGCTGCAAGCTTTACTGTGACCTGTCACTTACTACCTGGGTGAACTTGGGCAAGTGACTCCCTCCCTGAGCTTCAGTTTCCACAATAGTAAAATGAGGGGGTTAGACTAGGTGGTCTCCCAGGTCCCTCCCAGCTCTGCATCTATGAAAGTTAATAGGATCATGGCTCTAGATCTGGAAGGGACCTTAGAGGCCTTGTAGTCCAATCTTCTCATTTCAGAGTTGAGGAAACTGAAGTCCAGAGACATGAGGGGACTTATCCACACACAGTTCAGGATTCAAATCCATGTCCTCTGATGCAAACCCACTGCCCTTTCTGCTGTACCCACTGCTGCCTTCTGGTAGGAAAGGAAGCTAAGAGTTGTTCCTGTGTTCTCTGGAACACTCCAATCACTCAGAAAAACAAATTGTATGATGTTGGTCTAATGCCAATGCAGAGATTGTCTTTACTTCCCCAAGCTCTTCCTCTTTTCCTCTGTTACATCCATTTTTTCCTTCCTCCTCCTTCCCTCCTTCCCCTTTCATTACCTCCGTTCCTTCGGTTACAGACTCTGTGCAATATCCAAACACAGAATCAACATGGCCCAACTTACTGTTTGTCCAGATCAAGCTTCTAGATCTCTATTGAATTGATTGGATACAATCAATAGTGAAATCTGAACACAGACCCAGTTCTCTTCCATGCCTTCTATGCTAAGTGATCAGGCAATGTCATAGCAGCATTCATGGCTAGAATCTTGTTCTCATTCCTGGAAGGTTCCATTTTGAGAGGTGATGTACCTACTGATTCCCAACTCAGTCCTAATAGGACCATGAGATCATCCATGTGGAGTTGGCAAACACCTTAAAGGTCATCTAGTCCAACCCCCTTCACTTTACAGATGAGGAAATTGAGGCTCAGAGAAGGTCACATGAGTGGTAAATGGCAGAGTTGGAATTTAAATTCAGGTCACATGACTCCAAGGGCAATGTTCTTTCTACCTCCTCCACCCTAGGGTCAAGTGTCTCTTGTCTCTATTTGGGTTTTCCCTATTGACCCAAGAGGCATCTTGTTGCTTGGCCACTTTTTACATTTAACTAAACCTAGTTCTAGGCCAGCAGTGTCCTCAAAGAAAGAAGGTAGTAGTAGGTAGGGAGAATGAGTGAAGAAAGGAATGGGAATAGGAGAACTGACAGGACTCATTATGTGCCTTCTTCTCTGCCTCTGAAAAGCTCTCCATGATACAGAACTCTTCCTCATCCCAAGGCTGTGCCTCCTTTTTCCCCTTTCTTTGTAGCCTTTCTATAGAGAACGGCTGTATAAGCAGTGTCTATCTCACTGGCTAGAGCCATGATGCAGAGTTGGCCCCTTGCTTTTGGTTTTGGACTTGAGGACTGCCATTAGAACTACACGTTGTGTGTGTTGGGCAAGGGGCATGGGACAGGGAAGAGGAATGGAACTAGTGACTCTAGGGCACAAGCAGGAAAAAAAAAGAAACATGGGAGAAGAGGAGAAAAAAGCAAAGAGAGAAGAGAAACAGGAGTAGAAGCAGGAGCAGCAAGCACACAGAAAATGTGGAGAATAATATGCCCTGACCATTCCAATACAATAGAAAACAGAAGAGAGTAGAGAGAACTCAGAGGAGGAGAAGGGACATAGATAGACAGGGACAGAGAGAAGGGAAGGGAGACAGAGGTACAGAGACAGGCAGAGACAGAGGGATGCAGGGAAGGAGAGAGACAGAGAAAGAAAGGAGAGAGAAGAGAAAAGAGAAGGAGGGAGAGGAGGAACAGAAGGAGGAGAAGGAAGAAGAAGAAAAAGGAGGAGGAGGAAAGGAAAAGGAAAGGAGAAGGAAGAAGAGAGAAAAGAGAGAGGAAAGTATTCATTAAAAGAGAGAGATGTACAAAACAGAGAGGGGCTCAATGATACAATTGTGACCTTGGGTGCCACTCAGTGGCACCAGTGCCAGAGGATGCCTATTACTACTGTAGCAGATGCTACAGATCAGCTTTCCCAGTTCTCCCCACTGGGCTTCCTTCCCCTTACTTCAGGGTCCCTTTTCTACACCAAGGGTATCCCCAGTCCTACCTGTCGATGCTTATGGCACAGAGGTTTAGAATGCTGGCGGTGCACATCATGACATCCAAGGTGACAAAAATAACACAGCAAATTCGGTTGAAATTCCATACTCCTCCAGTCACCTAGGCATCAGCAACAAAGGATGTCAGTGTTTACCCCAGTTAGAGAGCAACAATCTAGTGGAATAAACTGGATTTCCCAGGAGACCTCGCAGAACATGTCAGGACTCCGTACGTGGCAAAGCCTTCTAATCTAGTACAATCCCACAAGTTTTTTATTAAATGCCTACTACATGATAAGCCAAAGACTATATTTATAAGGTTTTTCTCCAATATAAATTCTCTGTCATTGGATCTCTGGGATACAAAGATAGGCGATGAAACCAGGGCTAGTTGGGACAGAGGTACACCCAATGTACAACATATATACTGACAAGTAAGTAGGTTTTTAACGAGGCTCTCAGTGGGCTTATAGGCACCAAATAGAATCTTCTCCATGGGCCTGGGGAATGGGATAGGCTTACATCTAATATGTGATTTGAGTCCTCGCAGTAATTATGCTATTTTAAAGCTGTATCCTGAAGATGAATCCATCACCTTGCCTCTTGGGTTGGTGCCTTTTCCCTGCACAGCACATCTACTGTGATAAATGCCAAACAGCTGGGATTGTAGGATCAAAGCTAGAAGGAATCTGAGTGGTTACCCAGTCTGACTCTCTTGTTTTATAAATGTGGAACCAGAGACTCAAAAAGACTTTGAGTGATTTGCCCAGGTCATATAGTGAGTGTCAGATGTAGGATTTGAACCCAGGCAGGTTTTTGGGACTTCCACACTGCTTCTCTAAAAGCAGCTTGGGAGAGTGGCTGGTTGAGGGAATTGGTAATGAATACAGCTCCTTCACCTCTCGAGGTCACGGGTTTGAATTCCCATGGACCTTCTGAGGATGAGATAGACCTCATCTATTTATACAAGTGTTCCCATTCCTGTCAGATAGGCCCTCATAACCCTTATTAAAATGGCAAGAATTTAAGCAATTGAATTTGCATTCCTCCACTGATGTTTGGTTATTTATTTTCTCTGTACTCCATTTAGATAAACCAAGAAATCTGGGCAGGGGAGTTTCTCTGATAGTTTACCCTCAAGTCACATGCTTTGGTTCTTCGGTTCTCATGCCCTGGATAGCCGGCTCCACCACTTTGGGGAGACATATCCTCAGTGAATAGTCTGGAACTCTCCCCCCTCTCCTTTTCATCCTCATTAGTCATTAGCTGCAGCTGGGAGCTCCTGGTACTAGAGACTTAGAGAATCCTAGAGTTGAAAGAGACCTCCCTTAGAGGTTATCTAATCCAATTCCTCTAGAGCTCAGGGGAATATTTAAAAGGAAGAGTTACTGGGAAAGCAAGAACTGGAATCTTTAGCTGAGCACAGTGCCTGGTACCTAGTAAGTGCTCAATAATTGTTTATTAATTGATTAATAGTAGATGCTTTACACATGCCTGTTGAATTGAATTGAATTCCCCCATTATCTCTGTTATAAAAATGGAATTTAAATTCCTTGAGGGCAGGGATTATTTTGGCTTTGCATTTTTATCCCCAATGCCTTACTCTTAATATTGAATTGAGTTGGAATTATTTTCCTGTGAGAAGACTTGCTTGACTGCTGAACTGAATTGAAGAGAAGGTGAAGGTGAAGGAAATGGAATTCTCTGGACTAGGTTCATTCATTCATTCAACAAGCATTCTTAGAACTTTGGTGCAGCTAGTGTGGTAGCTGAGTGGGCAGCTAGGACTTTGGACAAAGGGTCATTAAGTCACAGAATCCTCATTGTCTTTTTTTTTTTGGTGAGGCAATTGGGGTTAAGTGACTTGCCCAGAGTCACACAACTAGAAAGTAGTATGTATATGAGGTCACAATTGAACTCAGATCCTCCTGACTCCAGGGCTGGTGCTCTATCCACTGCGCCACCTAGCGGCCCCAAGTGACAGAATCCTAAGTCACAGTGGGATCATAGATTGGGAGCTGAAAGGGATCTTAAAGATCGTGGAGTCCAACACCCTAATTCTAGAGATGAGGAAACTGAGGCCTAATTAGGTCAAGTGGCCTTTTCAAGGTCACACAGTAAGTGTCTGAGACAGGATTCAACCAAGTCTTCTTTTCTCCAAGTCCAATGCTCTATTCAGTTGGTTATTAAACATTTATTGAGCCCCTACTATATGCCAGGCACTATGCTAAGTAACTTCACTGGGCTGCCTCTCAGATGGAAATGTGTTCAAACCTGTGTTTAGATACTGCTCAAGATGCTGAATGATCATGGACAAATCACTTAATTCTGACTCAGTTTTTTAATCTGTAAAATGAGAATAATAACATTACCTACCTAAAAGACCTGTGAACAAAAGCACTTTACAAACCTTAAAATGCTATTTAAATAAGAGTTAACATTATTATGTGGGATAAAAAAACCCTATCTCAGTTTCTGCATTTGCAACATAAGGGGTTAGATTTAATAGTTTCTAACCTGTAAATTATATGACCCACTGTATGGCTTGGGAGAGACTGATCAATGTTGAAGGAGGTTTATAAAAGAAGTACAGGAGGTTGACTTGGAGAATTGACAATTGAATTGGGACGTTATGGAATATTTCCCCAAAGATAGAGGGGAACTCAGGAGAATTGAGGTAGGAGAAAAAGCAAAGATAACCCTAGACATAGGCCAACAAGTTCCTAGTGTGGCTACGAGATATGCCCCTAAGGTAATGATTATAGCTCTTAAAGAGATTTCAGATGCCATTTAGTCCCACCTTCTCATTTTATAGATGAACAAATTGCAGTCCTAGGAAGATCAAATGATTGGCCCAGGGTCGCAAATGTGATGATCATCTGAGGCAGGATTTGAACTCTTGTGCTTTGGTTCCAAAACCCTGATTATTGCTGCTGTACCACACCTTGAGGTTGATTTCATCCATCAGTCACACAAAGAAAATCCGTTTCCATTTAGCTGTATTTTTCCTTTGTAGCATTTTCTTCATTGAAAGATCTCTCCTTTTGGCCATTATCCAATTCCCTTCTCCCTCATCCACCAGGGTGTGGATGACAATTTCTTTTTGTTTTACTGAAATCTGATAAAAATACGGTATCGCATTTGACCAGTAGATGTCACTGTCTCATATGGCATATCTTGAAACTTCTCTAACTTTGAAACTTCTGGTAAGGTATAATGAATTTATTCTAGATTTTAAAAACTTGTTCTTTACTTTATCGGTCTTATATGCTTAACATCCTGTGTGTTGAATTTACTTGAAACAACAGCAAACTGTATGGAGAAGATTAAACACCTGTTTCTTAATTTGCTAGCGGATGATACTGCCCAGAAGTATTGGACAAAGAAAGATCGAGAAAAAGCAAGCTAAGAATATCAAGAGACTATGATGGAAATAATAGGTGTTCGGCAGGAGAGACTTCATAGTCTCCTCGTTGGGGAAAGAGATATGCTTCCACTGACCATTTTTAATGTGGGGATTACAATTTATGGCACTGCAGGCAAAGGCAGCATATATGGGACATTATTTTAGTGGCATCATTGGAGGCCACCAGGCAGACAAAATGGCAGCAGAGTAATAATAATAATAATAATAACATATTTATGCAGAGATTTAATGTTTGCAAAGCACTTCATATACATGAACTCATTTGATCCTCATTGCAATCCTGTGAGGTAGGCAGTGACTGTAGGTCTTATCATTAACCTTTTACAGGTGAGGAAACTGAGGTTCAAAGCAGTGCCCAAGGTCACACAGGTAGTATGAGCCAGAAGCAGGATTTGAACCCAGGTCCAGGACTGTACGCCACTAGACTGCCTTTCAGGTGGGTGAAGTGTGTCTTTGAGGCTCTCCCACCCTCCTTCTCCAGTCTTCCCTTGCTCCTTGCTCCTGACCCCTACCCCATACCAGATTTCCAGAGCCTTAATTTTTTATTCTCTGGCTGTCCCAACACAGTTCACCCTACTTGGAAACATCTGTTCTCTTAGGAACCATGAGTAGGCAGTGAAAGAAAAACAATTTGATTCAAGTAATTGACATGGAGGTATGTTTGGTTTAGTCTTCTCTGGGGGTAGTTGCACTTCAAAGAGAAATTTTTAATGTTAATAATCTAAATTGTTAGAAGGGTGAAGGGGTATTTTTGAGTAGGAGGCGATTTTCCTCACCAGAAGAGTAGGCCTCAGTAACTTGTCATCCTCTTGGCATTTGAAATATTGTACCCATGCTCTCCATTATAGCTATATACCTATCCCATATATAGGGTTTATTGTGGTTATTGTTGTTCGGTCATTTCAGTGGTGTCTGATTCTTGGTGACCCCATTAGGCGTTTTCTTGGCAAAGATACTAGAATGGTTTGTCATTTCCTTCTCCAGATCATTTTACAGATAAGGAAATTGAGGCAAACAGGAAAAGTGACTTGCCCAGAGTTACACAACCAGAAAGTGTCTGAGGACAGATTTGAATTTAGGAAGAAGAGTTTTCCTGACTCCAGGCCAGGCACTTATCCGCTGTGTCACCTAGCTGGTCCTACAATAGGGTAATTGTATCATTTTATAAAGTTCAAAGCTTTATAAATATAAGCAATTATTATGATTGTATTAGAGAAATAATGTCTTTATGAATCCATGACTCTGAATCATGTTTAAAGAAACAACAAATCCGATTGGTATAAGTCTCTTAGAGGGACATTTCAGGATTGTCTCAGAAACGCTAATGAACAACTCACTTTGGAAGCATAGACAAACATAGCCAGGTGGTATTATTCAGGTGTTATTCTCACTTGCTAATGAGTAATTAACTCCCTTTGGCTATACAGAAGGCAGAAGCAGACTAATGTCTTCAGGGACCCAGAAGTAAATTTTTTGGTCTACAATACACACAGCTGAAGGGGGTTTGGCTCTCTTAGCCAAAATCTTCAGGAAGGATGAACCTAAATGATCTAAAATTGACATGTTTTTTATATTCCTGGAGATCGCTAGGGGTAGAATCATAGGACTGAGAAGTAGAAGAGGCCTTGGGGATTATTATTTAGCCTATTTCCCTTCATCTTAAAGATCTGGAAAGATCATGGCCAGAGAGCCAG